AGCGTTTTAGCATATTGAGTGGTCCAAATATTTAAATATCTATGATATGGGAAGCATGGAGAACATTAAAAACCATTTTCTCCCTGCTGATTGCAAGAGAGGAAATATACACAGTCCCTGCTCTCCTGCACAGTTGCAAAACTGCTGGCCTAATCATATTGCCTATGTAAAGTACCTCTCCCGCCTCCTCCAGCCTGGCTTTAGGTTGCATTTACTGTAAACAAAGATGTATTTGGGGGGGAGAGGGAGGGACAGTTGGATTGAGTTTATTGTTTATGTAAATCTCTCAGAATGTGACATAGCAAGATAGCTTCCTATGTTGTGTTGATCCACATTTTAGGCCAACAGCCAAAGTATTTTATCTTTTCCTTCATTATAGTGATCTTCCAATTAGCCGTGGTCTGTAATACCCTGATTTTGGTGGCAGTGGTTTGGACAGGATTGTTTGATAGTTCTGCTCGAGAGGCAAAAGAAGGGGCCTTATTATAGAAGTGCAGAGGTTGTGCAGGAGCTGAGTTCTGTTGCAAAGTTTGCCGATAAGGGGAAAACCGGCCCTTAAGCGTCCATTCTGTTCTGTATATTAACACTTCTAATCTGCACTGCTGATAAAACTGCAAGCCATTTGCCTTTGGAGGAATTAGTTCTGCCTCACTTGTGTAACCAGGCGATGGTGATTAACCTTTAAACTGTCCAATATTCCCAGCAGCCTCCTGCTCCAGATTAGAAACTATTTAGTTATGACCAACTAAATTAACAACACTCCCTCCTCTGAAGAATGAGATTTGGAAGGTGGATGCATTTTAAGGTGGAATTGTGTTTTGAATTGGTGATCCATCCTTTTAAGGTGCTTATTTCCCCCTTGTTAAAGTCACACTGGGCACCAGAGCCCAGCTGGAGGATGGGGAGACAGGACAGGGCAGGGGGACAGTTGTCCCAGGCAGTTTGCATAGCTGAGGTTTCATGGGCACAAAGGAAACCTGTTTTAGATTTAGATTTCCTTCCCTGTTATCATCCCATGTTAAAAGGGACATTAGACCCAAGCCAGGCTCACGGTGGGATTGAGCGGTTGTTCCTACTGGGAAGATGAAGGGAAAAAATAAAGTAGCTCCCTTACCACCTTGCTCCCAATTTCCTCCTGGAGTTGAATGTCAGAAAAAGACACTAGCTAACTTTCATCTTCCAGACATAAGGCTCTGCCCACTGCAGGCAGATCCAGCTGAACCCGACGGAACAGCAACCGAGCTAACAATCCTGCGTCCGTCCTCTCTAGCTGCCCATTTCAAACGTGTAATTTATCAGTAGAAACATACCCTCGGTGGTATGGGCCAGGCAATTATGTAATCGTGTTGTGTCTTAAATCCCCAAATTGTTGGTACTCCCCGGATAACAAACAAAATGGAACAAGAATCCTCACCGCTGACATCCCCCCAGCACCCAATCCTGGTAGCAACCTTTTCTGTTTTACTAGTTTCATATTAGCTGCCTCCTTAAAAACTGCTAATCTAGATACTGCATTAGCAGAATGTCAGTCAAGCCGCAGTCCACGGAGAAGCCTTCTTCATATACCAATTTAAATCATTCATGGTCTTTTCTTTGGCATTATTCAAAAGATCATAATAATTTTCTTGTGCCCACAGCACAAAAAAATCAATTATTTCCCCACAAAGACTTGAAAGTACTTAGCGAGTGCGGCAAGAAAAGCTGAGGGTGATATCAAATTGAAATTGCACTCATTACATACAACACAATTAGTTGCCACTAGCCTGGCCGGGCTTTAATTCTGAATGGCATATCTTTATTATTACAGAAACAAGCATGCAAATGGCATTGTTCAGGATTTGCCGAAATCAATAGGATATAGTGCTGTGTGTTTGGTGGCCACTGTCACTCACGCTGCTGTGGATGCGAGATAATGTGTGTGTTTGAATTAATGAAGGGAGCAGGCAACATCATAAGTGACACCCAAATAAAAGAAATGGGTACATGATATTTGTAATTATTCTACTTGTGTTTTTGTTGTAAATACTTGTGCTTTTTGTTTTTTAATCAAAGGATTAATTGCATTTTAATAAGGCATTATGATTTGCAGAGCTTTAGTTAATTAAAACTTGTAGTATATAATTATGAAGTGATGCTGAGATTTTCTAAAGATCACCCATATGTTTAGAATATGTATAATTTTTCTGTTAAGCAGTTGCAGACTCTCCCCCCGCCCCCCCCGCCTTTCTCCTTGGTCCCTACCCCACCAGGGGAAGATGTGGGTGACTTATGCGGAATGTGGTGATTTGACAAGTCCAAGTGGATTTCTCTAAGTGTCGACTAGAACTCAGTTTGGGTTGTTGCACACATTAAAATGACTCTGAAGCAGCACTCGTGTGATAAACTAGGGACAAAACTTTGTGGTTGCACTTGCCTCCCAGTTAACCCTCCTGAGATGCAGTGCTGTAGAGGTTTGGGGAGCTGGATGTTTAGAGTGCAAACATCAAGATCTTAGATCTTGGTGAGGTGGTGCCCCTGATCATTAACACTGGTTGGTTCCCTACAGCCAGGACAAAATCCCCACGGAGCCACTGAGCCCTGGCCTGGCCCTCTGTGACACCGAGGAGCTTACTAGGGAGGGGTGGGGTGGGGAGAGGGCATGCTCAAAGTCAAGGGAACTTGGAATTCTCAAGTGTTAACACATTAGTAATTCACAGTGGAGTCAGCCCAGAGATGTGTAATCGTGTTTCCTGTAGGTGTGTATTATGTGAAGGCTGATGGATTAATTGCTAGATAGATGGAATAGAGCTAAGGTAAAACATTATTAAAAAGTTTTAAAATCTTAATGCAACATTTTGAAGTTTGCTTTGGGGAATTTTTTCATTTCAGTCTCCTAGTTTTCCATTCTTACTGGGATCAGGAGTCTTAGGTGTCTTTGCAGAGGAAGGGATCTATTTGCAGAGAGTCTAGCTTCTTCCTCGTTAAGGCCCAGTGGCCCTGTGAGGCCAGGTGGACACGGGAGCTGGTGGCTGAGCCTCAGTGTGGCCAATGACAGGACGGAATGAGCTGACTTCAAAAGAGTGGACTCTGGTTACCTTTGGGACCTGTGTTGTCTGACACCCAAGGACGAATTCCTCTCTCCCTCTGGACACTACCCCGAGGAGGATCAAGAGTCCCCACTCCCTGCAAGGCAATTTGAAGGATGAAGTTGAAGGGAAGAGGATCCTGCAGTACCCATGCCCAAAGCCTGGTTTTCCAGGAGACCCACAGAAATGCTCTGAGGAGGATGGCCCAAAGCTGATTTAAAATCTAATATTCTTAGGTTGGTCATAGTGTCCTATTTTAACTCTGAAAACCTAGAGCTTGAAAAGGTGGCTCATTCAAAGCTTGCTAAAATATTTGCTCAGCAGCACAATGGTGTGTGATGGAAAATAAACTCTTGTGGCTGGCTTCATCCTATCAGCCTCGGCCTGCAGCAGGGAAAGAATGAGAGAAGGTCAGTCAATTATGTGTGGTAATCACCGTAAGCATATTATCTGAGACACAGATGTCTTCTATGACCCCACACGACATGGCTATTAACCTCAGAGCAATATAAAAATGGAGTGGGCTTTGGGGGGAGGAGTGGAGGTAAACCAGACTTTCAGTCTAGCCTTGTCCACAGGCTCAGAAAAAACAAGTTGTAGACATGAAGCCTATTTTCAGGAACCCATCCAACAAGCTGACCCCGCTCATCACGGCCGGATCCCCATGCCCCTCCTTCCCCCAGACCTTTCTGTAGGCCTAGTCATGTGCGTAAGTACTGGCCTCATCTGACAAATTGACTCGGGAGATATCTGGAACACACAATGGCTCTGGAATGCTACTTTCTGTTCACCAGAGAAAAGGAAAGAGGAAAAAGCAATTTGGGTGTTTGTGTGTGTTTTTAAATAAGTTTACCTCCAGTCTTGGCCCGATGTGGGCAGAGAAGACAATGGGGTTACCCAGGCATGTCGGGGACCCAGCTAGGCTACCCAGGCAAAATGGACTGATAGAAGCCAGGATGGTTATACCTGATGGGTTTTTCCCCCATAATCTAGCCCTGATTCTGGTGTCTCCCTGGAGAAATTCATGGCAAATGCTGGCACCGGACTGGGCACCCTAGTGTCACCCCACCCAAGCTGCTGACAGACTGTTACCTGGTCCGGGGTGCACACATGTGGGAGATGCTGTGCTATGAGACATGTTGGCCAGACAGTGAGGACCTGAAACTAAACAAACTAGTTCCTGCACACTCCCCCTGGATTTTTATAGTCTGTGAGGGTAAGGGAGGGGCGGGGGGTGTGTAGAGGTGGGGGAGTTCGAACACAAATCTGTATTCAATTCATGTCAAACATGCTGGACTAGGCCTCTAGAAAGGGTCCTGTGTAGAATGAAGAAGGGGCTATTCGGCATTGCTTTTCTTTCTCTTTTACAATAAAAGTTTACACTGAGGTTTGAAAAGGTTAAGTCATTTGCCTAAGGTCAAGCAGTTCATATTTTGTCCAAGCTGGGTTTTGAACCTGGGCTCCAGGGCCAAGACTCTCACCTGCTGTGGTCCACTGTGTGCATGTGTGGGGAGGTGGGCTGGGCTCAGCAGATTCCTCCTTCAGGACACTTTCTTGCTTGCCCCAAACTTTCCCCAGTGAAAAGAGAGGCATTATCAAAATTGCTACCCCAGCTACTTCTCTGTTTTATGGCTATTTTGAGAAGGCGATTATACACATGGATTGCAGAAGAGATAGCATTGCAGTATACACACATGCATGCAGATGTGAAAGTGTTTTAAGATTTAAAGATCCATACGCTAGCAGGTACTATTGATGTGCATTTTAGTGAATATGACATGATGAACATGCATGACAACCAACCTAGTTACATGTTGTTGTACAAAGTCATACCAGGTGATTTTTCACTGTCCTCTCTGCCACCCTCACTTCCTAACAGAGCTCACTTTGTTCAGGTGGATGTTAATGTTACTCCTTGTGCCTCTTTGCTTCCAGGAAAGCTGGCTTTGTCCCAGCTCCAAAGGCAGATCCTGATTGGTCCAGATGGTCGTCATGGTCCCCTCAGGCATAGGTACGTGATGTAAAGATCAGTTCCACATAGGTAAGTGTGCTGGGAGCCTTCTGGAACAAGTTTCCTCTCTCCTAAGGAAACTTCCCAACCCCAGGAGAAATTGCTTCATCTCTGTCTAGAATTTACCACATCTGGATGTAATATGTCAATGACGGCAACCATCTTGTGACTATAAGGAGAGCCAGATGATGGCAGGGCAGGAAGAGGGAGTGGCTTTGGGTCCTCCGTGATGTCACTGAGCCACTGATCACACACCGTGGAGTGGCCCTCCACCTCTGGACTCTGTGGTGTGTGACAATTTTCTGTCCTTATTGTATAAGTCATTTGTTTTCCATTTAAAAAATTGTGGCATTATACATACACAAATGGCCATTTTAATCACTTTTAAGTGCACAGTCCAGCAGCATTAGGGGCAATCACGTTGCTGATGGTCATCACCACCACTTCCCAAATGGCAACTCTGTGCCCATTCAATATTGATTCCCCATCCTCCTCCCTTCACCCCTGGCAACCACATTCTGCTTTCCAGCTTTGTGAGGACCTCTTGTGAGTGGGCTCGTAGTGCATTAGTCCTTTTGTGACTGACCTCACTGCATGTAGTGTCGCAAGGTTTGTGATGTATATGTAAGTAATTTTCAGCTGGAATCTCTGATACTTGCAGCAAAGGCATCCCAAGTCATAAACCTGTCAAACTGAGGTTTAAATGTGTTCATCGTCATTGATTCTCCAGTAATGATTAAGAGCATGGAGGCCAGTAATGATTAAGAGCATGGATTCTGGGTCCTTGAATTTAAATTCTCATTCTACCACTGACTAGTTCTGTGAATGTAGGTAATTTGCTTGCAGCTTGTGCTTCCATTTCCCAGCTGGAATATTCCTTCTGGCACAGGGCAGCTAGAGGACTAAAGGAGTCACTTCATGTAAAGCACTTCAAAAGGTACATGGCGTGCCATCCTTCTCATTGTCATTATTAGTACTGTTATTGTTAATCACAACAGTTTTACAGCTTTCCCTGAATGCAACGCATGAGTTTATCTTACACTCTTTGGCCATTAATAGAAGGAAGATGCTGAACAGTTTCCTCCTCTGCCATGGTTGTTCTGCTTAGCATGAAGGTTCTGGGTCATCTCCTGCCTTTCTCAGTCTTTCTTTCAGATCTTCCTGCTCCCATCTGAGCAATTTACCCAGCTTCTTGCTATTTCCTGCCCAAATCTAGGAGGTCAATATCAGGGTCCCAGGAGCTAAAGGCCCAGAGGCAGCTCACACAAAGGGTCAGAAGACCAAAAATGGGCAGCCAGGGGGCCAGGTCACCCCTTCAAGAGTCCTGAGCTGAAGAAAGGAGGTACTTGAGGGACAGTGTGTGACCTGGGTGGCATGGATGGGAAAGAAGTAAGTATACCTGCAACCTTGATTCTGTATGTGGAGATCTGAGGCGAGGAGGTACAGGAGGCACAGGGGGTGAGCTGTGGGAGTAGCAGCAGGCTCTAAAATTTCCAGAGACCAGGATATAGATCCAGATACCAGGATATAGATCCACTTGCTTTGCCACCAGTGGTTCTGGGGAAGGAGTCCAGCAATCCCACTCCTGTCACTATAGAGGAGTTTTTATTTTCTTTTATAAATCTTATATTCAGGGCCTCCCCGGTGGCGCAGCAGTTGGGCGCTGGGTTGCAAAGCTGCCTGCAGCCTCTGTGGCACCAGTTCAATCCCTGGCTGCTCCCCCGGCACTGGAGGAGGGTCCCACATGGCGCGCAGACCTCTCCTGCCGCCCGCTGCTCCCCTCAGCAGTGTACTGCAGTCCTTCTGCCTGCTCTGCTCCCCGCTCTGGCTCTGGCGAATTCTCTCACCCTCCCGCGCTTCTGACTGTACCCAGTGCTTGTATAAATAAATAAATAAATAAATATTTAAAAAAAATAAATCTTATATTCAGTTTTTTTTTAGTTAAAGTAACATTGTTTTATAACATTATATAGGTTTCAGGTAGACAGACTTTATATAGTGACACACGTATATGCTGCATCTTGTTTGCTTCCAGAATTCTAGCTTCCATTCACCACCATACAGTCGACCCCTTTTACCCTAATGACCCTCTCCCTTTCCCCTTTTTTTCTGGTAAAATAGTTACTTTGTTCTTATACCCTAAATGTTTGTTTTTGTTTTATTTAGTTGATTCCTCCTTATTTAGTTTGTCTTATTTATTTATTTTTGTATTCCCCATACAATTGCAACTCCCTGATTTTGACCCCAATCTCTCCTTTCCCTGCCCCCCTTTAGTTTGTCTTTTTATGTACCACATGTGAGTGAACTCATAGTGTTAATCTTTCTCCTTGGGACTTATTTTATTAGCATAATACTCTCAAGGTCCATCCATGTTGTTAGAAATGATAAGATTTCATCCTAAGTAGTATTCCGTTTTGGATATATAGCACATCTTCTTTATCCATTCATCTGTTGATGGCCCTTAAGTTGTTTCCAACTCTTTTTTTCTTTTCTTTTCTTTTATTTTTTTAAGATTTATTTATTTATTTATGCAAGCACTGGGTACAGTCAGAAGCGCGGGAGGGTGAGAGAATCCACCAGAGCCAGAGCAGGGAGCAGAGCAGGCAGAAGTGTTATAGGAAAGGGAGAGGGGCAGCCCAAGCCCCGCAAACCTGCCTATTCTAAATGGGTTCTGCCATCCGCCGCATCAACACAAAACATATGAGACTTTAATGGGAAGGAACTTTAATAAAACTAGGAAACAATACAGGTAAGGCCAAGAGTCTAGTTTCTAAATCAAGCACCCAAAGTTACCCGTCCCCTCGTGGGTAAAACTCCATCCATATGGGATTGGCCCAGAGCAAGGCCCCAAAGCCTGCCACAAGTCTAAAGCATCTTCCAGTGGGGACCCACAGCAAAGGGTCAGAAACAACCAGACAAGGCCGGAAGGAAAAGAGCAAAATCAACATCAAAATAAAAGCTGCCATTGGGGCCTCCCCGGTGGCGCAGCGGTTGAGCGCTGGGTTGCGAAGCTGCCCGCGGCCTCTGCGGCGCCGGTTCGATCCCCGGCTGTTCCCCGGCCACCGGAGGAGGATCCCACATGGTGCGCAGACCTCTCCTGCCACCCGCTGCTCCCCTCAGCAGTGTACTTCAGTCCTTCTGCCTGCTCTGCTCCCCACTGTGGCTCTGGTGAATTCTCTCACCCTCCCGCGCTTCTGACTGTACCCAGTGCATGTATAAACAAAACAAACAAACAAATATAATTAATAAAAAATAAACATGCCTCTATTTAAAAAAAAAAAAATAAATAAAAGCTGCCATTGTCACCTCCCCATGGGTCTCACCCACATCTGTGTCACCCTGTCCACGACCAAAAGACAAGCGCAGCTTCTTCACGTGTCTCTAGGCTCCATCCTGCCTCCTTCCTCAGTCTCTTCTGCAGCTTCTCCTCTTCCTGCTCAGCTCCACCCTCCCTTGGGTGGGGCAGGGAACCTCCCCCTTTCCTGGGACCACCCTGTTACAGAAGGACCAAAGTACACTGCTGAGGGGAGCAGCGGGCGGCAGGAGAGGTCTGCGCGCCATGTGGGACCCTCCTTCAGTGGCCGAGGAGCAGCCGGGGATCGAACAGGTGTTGCAGAGGCCGCGGGCAGCTTTGCAACCCAGCGCTCAACCGCTGCGCCACCAGGGAGGCCCTGTTTCCAACTCTTGACTATTGTGAATAATGTTGCAATGAACATGGTGCTGAGTATATGGCTTCAAATTGGTGTTTTTTATTCTTTGGGTTAATACCCATATGGTATGTCTATTTTCAATTTTTTGAAGAATTATTATACTGTTTTCCATATGGCTACACTAATTTACATTCCCATGCAAGGGTTTCCCTTTTTAGAGGAGCTTTAGGTGTGACTTAGGTAGAAAGAGAGAGTAAAATGATTGCCAGAAAGGGTAGAGGGTGGGAATCAAGAAGCCCTGGAGACAGAGACAGGTGTGGGTATGTGTGTGTGTGTGTATTTTCCCATTTGCATGAAGGGGGTAAGGAAAATACCTGCTTTCTTATGAATTTCTTGTCAAGAACAAATGAAATATATTGTTGATAACACTGTATTAGATCCATGCTAGTTGATAACACTGTAATATATAATTAAAGGACAGATGAACTAATGACTTTAAAAGTACTCTGAAAAAAAATTAAGCCTTCAAGGTAAATCATTTCTACTGTGCCTTTTCAAGATGTTATTTGGTGACAAAAGGAAATTTGCACTTGTGGTGTGAGAAGGACACAACTTTGGATGTGCCACATGTAGTTACCAAAGGAGGAGGCACAAAAGGGCATTTCAGGAGACCAAGATGCTTCCTCCCCCTCCCCCACTTTACAGAAATCTTCATGTCCACAGGGCAGGCCCTAGAATGCTACGCTGAACTAAAACTCTCAGGAAATGCAATTGGACAGAAGAGAAACAGACTCAGATTTTTATTAGTAGGAGGGGAGCTGCATGCCCGAGTGGGGAGGTGCCTGATAAACTGTATATTTGGTGAAGGGCCAAGGAAGAGATAAAAGATTAAAAAATGTAATAGAAGATTTGCTTACACTTCTTGGAGTGGTAATTAAATTTATTTATAGTTATGGAAAATTTGGGGAAGGGAGGAAAAGCAATTTAAATGCAGAGTTTTCACAGGGCAACTGCAAATGGCTTGCTTTAACGGCGCCTCTGAAGGTTAACAGAATGGCAGGGAGGTCGGACTGAAGTGCATATGATAAGTGACAAGTGTTAACATGGCAAATCATGTATTTAAAATTACTCTGAGCTTTATCAAATGTTTCCTCTCAAAAATAAACTATCCTGGATGGAAAGGTTAACTGAGAAAAGAGTATTGCTCTAATGTTTCCCTCATGACCAGGGAGGGCTGCAGGAGGGAGAAGGGTTCTGTAATGTAGGAGAAGTGGTGATAAATATAAATAGGTTGTTATGTTATTAAGAGTAAAGAACAAATATATTCAAACTTACACTG